ACACAATTCAAACCTTCAGCTACACAATTCAAACCTTCAGCTACACAGTTCAAACCTTCAGCTACACAATTCAAGAACTTCTACTTCATCCAAACACGAGGCGTTAACTCCAGAATGATCTGGAGACACAAACAAACGTCATGAAGAGAGCTCGAGGCTTTACCAGGTTGTAACCCATGGAGATCAGGCAGGTTTTGAAGTCGTCAGCATCCATGACTCCGGTTCTCTTCTACAAGGTCAGAACCAGGAGGAGGAGGAGGAGGAGGAGGAGGAGGAGGAGGAGGAGGAGGAGGAGGAGGAAGAGGAAGAGGAGGAGGAAGAGGAGGAACAGAGAGGAAACTCAGACGAGAAGATCGCAACAGTCCATGTTGTGGTTGTTGCAAGGAGAGGGAAAATATGGAGCAAATTCAGAGGAAGAGTAAAGGCAATAGTGGGGGGGGAGTAAAGACAAGGAGGGGGGGAACAAAAACACAGTTAAACCTCTGCCTGCAGGCGTGGCTGCAGTTCAATACCTGTGCATCGTTGGCGATATCGAAGCCCAGGCTGATCAGGCACGCCTTGAACTCCTCCGGCCCTAGAGTACCCGAGTGGTCCTGGTGTGGGGGGCGCCGGGCCAGGCGTGGGGGCCACAGGCCATGCAGCAACACATACAGCCGTGTCAGTGATGGACGGAGGACAAGGGAGTGGGTGAGATGGTTTTGGAGGGAGGAGGGATGTGGAGGGAGTGAACCATGCTCAAGTGGGAAGAGGAGGTGGAGGAGGTGTTGGGGGGGGGGGTCATGCAGAGGAGACAGACAAGAGAAAAAAGTGCACATCGATTAGGACGTGGCCGGTGAAGCCGTTGTTGGGTGAAGGCATTCAGAGGAGTTAATGTGCAGAGCAGGCAGACTTGAACAGAACCAGAACCTCAGAGAGGGTGCACGTCTAACAGCGCACGTGTTTGAACAGGAACACAAGAACAGAAATACACACGTTCAGTTTAATAAACTTCAAGTACTGACCGAGTTGGACCCGTTAAAGAAAAAAACTGAAATAACTCAAAAGGGACTAAAGTGAGGGACCAGACAAAGTGCAGCCCTACGATGAGAAAAAGAAAAGGACTTGATGTTCCCTCGCCCGGACGTGGGTCACCGGGGCCCCACTCTGGAGCCAGGCCTGGACGTGGGTCACCGGGGCCCCACTCTGGAGCCAGGCCTGGAGGTGGGGCACCAGGGCCCCACTCTGGAGCCAGGCCTGGAGGTGGGGCACGCAGGCGAGCGCCTGGTGGCCGGGCACAGCCCGAAGAGGAGACGTGGGTCACCGGGGCCCCACTCTGGAGCCAGGCCTGGAGGTGGGGCACGCAGGCGAGCGCCTGGTGGCTGGGCACAGCCCGAAGAGGAGACGTGGGTCCCCCTTCCCATGGGCTCACCACCTGTGGGAGGGGCCAAAGGGGTCAGGTGCAACGTGGGATGGGTGGTGGCCGAGGGCGGGGACCCTGTCGGTCTGATCCTCGGCTGTCGGCTGTGGCTGAGTGGTTAGAGCAGTCGTCCTCCAATGTGAGAGTTGGGGGTTCAAATCCACCAGCAGTCACATGCCGAAGTGTCCCTGGGCAAGACACTGAACCCCTCATAGCCTCTGGTGTGTGTCCCATCAGTGTATGAATGTGATAAAGCTCTGATTAGTCTCTTTAGAATGATTTGTTCAATTAGCTTTGTAGAGATCTAGTATAGAGCTGGATGAATGGGTGAATGAGGCACAGATTGTTGTAAAGAGCTTCGAGTGTCTTGAAATAAGATAGAAAAGTGCTATACAAGTACAGTCCATTTATAGAAGCTGGCTATTGGGACGTGGAATGTCACCTCACTGGTGGGGAAGGAGCCTGAGCTGGTGTGTGAGGTTGAGAGGTTCCAGCTAGAAATAGTCGGACTCACGGCTCTGGCTCTGGAACCAGTTTCCTTGAGAGGGGCTGGACACTCTTCCACTCTGGAGTTGCCCCTGGTGAGAGGCGCCGAGCAGGAGTGGGCGTACTTATTGCCCCCCATCTTGGTGCTTGTGTGTTGGGGTTCACCCCGGTGAATGAGAGGATGGCCTCCCTCCGCCTACGTGTGAGGGGACGGGTTCTGACTGTCGTTTGTGCTTATGCACCAAACAGAGCGAAGCATAATGACGACTTCTGACGATCACCAAGCTATCGTCTATGAAACGCCATCCGGTGGTTGATTCTTGTACTACAACCAGAGCTGCACATGATGCGGGAGCTGGGCACAGATTCTGATAATGAACGGTGGATACCCGCGGCTTAAACACCAGAAAGTCTTATTTATGTACAGAACTATGATTTATCTTGTCCCATCCACCCCCCAAAGCACGGGGTCTGTGTGACCATTGGCCCATCTGGCCCGCGTGTGCACTGTGTTCTGTACTAACCCTGTCGAAGTGGTTGAACGAAGCCCTGAACTCGTTCAGCTGCTCCTGGCTGATGCCTTTGGCGTCTCGCGTCAAGATCTGGTTCTCAATTTCATTGATGGTGCGAGCGATGGTGGTGAGCAGCTGCTCCCAGCCCACACGGATGTGCTGCAGAGACAAAGACAGGCTCTCAGAGGCTACAGCCTGGTTGGAGATTTGATCATCCACAGAGGATCAAAGGCATCACTGAAGAGAAGTTTAACATCGTTAACATGCAACAAACTGCAGAACGTATTAGTCGTGATTAAAATGCCCGTCTTGGTTTGAATGATCTGATCAGTGGTGGGCACAGCTAATCAAAAAAAAAGTTAGCTTTGCTGACCACTAATTCGCTAACTAGATAAATTAGCTTTGCTAACACTAAAAGAATTAAAAAAAATTTTTGTAGATGCTAATGCTAAAGCGCTAACTTTTATCATCCATTGCTGTCTATGAAACTGTAAGACAGTCTGTAAAGTGACAAAGTTGTAAGTGAACACAACTCTAAACATTAATAAATCACAGTAAAGTGTCCACGTCCCGTTCAGAGGTGAGTTTCAGACATTAATCTGGTCCATCAGAACCAAACAGGCAGAGCAGAACTCTGAGTGATGCATTCAGTGTATGTCAGACGTCTCCCTCGTGTTGTTTACTTTAATGATGCATTCAATGTGTGTCGGACGTCTCCCTCGTGTTGTTTACTTTAATGATGCATTCAATGTGTGTCGGACGTCTCCCTTGTGTCATTTACTGTAATGATGCATTCAATGTGTGTCGGACGTCTCCCTTGTGTCATTTACTGTAATGATGCATTCAGTGTATGTCAGACGTCTCCCTCGTGTTGTTTACTTTAATGATGCATTCAATGTGTGTCGGATGTCTCCCTTGTGTCATTTACTTTAATGATGCATTCAATGTGTGTTGGACATCTCCCTCATGTCATAATGATGCATTCAATGTATGACCCGAGTCTTCATTCAGAACCCAGATCTGGAAACACTTTGACAAATGAACCTCTTAGTGTTCCTTCATGTGATGCATATCACCCGCTGCTCCTCACCCAGAGCTTTAGACAAAGATAAGCTGTGTCTGTTGCCATGGTTACCTCCATGGTGTAGTTGGTGTGCTTGTTGTCGAAGATGAGCGCCTCCTGAATGAGCTGGTGATCCCCCTCCAGCTGGTCGATCTTTGGCTTGTAGTTGACGATGCTCTTCTCATACTGGCGCAGGTGAGACAGCTGGTCCTCCAGGGTGCCATGCATCTCGATGGAGATGCGTCCAATTTCCTGGACAGACGCACAGAGGACACGAAAAGACAAGACGACAAGTCAGCGTCCATGAATCCTTCATTATTAAACAATGGTGGCGTTAGTTTAGGACCAGGACTGAAACCAGGCCTCCTGAATCTGAGGTTCTACAAAGTCTGAGCTCCCCTTCCAACACCTCCGAGAACACCACGGCCTTTGTTACAAAACATGAAACATTTTCAAGATAAAAACAGAAAACACTGAAACTATCCACCTGTGAAAGTTTCACCTTTTCCTTTTCCCAAAGTGGTGAACATGAAACATCCAAAAGGTGAGGAATGATGAAACAAGGCCACCATCAATTCAAGAGTCTCCTCTGATAAAACCTCTGACCTGCGCCCACAGGCCAGGCAGCAGCTGACCTCTGACCTTTGACCTGCGCTCACTCACCTCCATCTTGGTCTGGATCCAGGGCCCGATGACGTTGGCCTGGTTGGCGAACTGCCTGCGCAGACGTTCGTTGTTCTGCTGCCGGGCGTGTTCTTCCATCAGAGCCTGGTCGCGCCGAGGCACCAGCTGCCGGACCTGCAGGGGTCACAGAACCGCCTGGACGTGAGTCCGTTACATCAGAGCAGAACCAAAACCAGCTTGTGCTCTTTACATTCTGAAAGTTAAAACTTTAATAGGAGAAGAACTCCTCCCGGTATGATCTTTACAGAACGCACCTAAATCAGGCGAACTAGGTGAACTTACAGAATGACGTGGTAGTAGCTGAGAGTCATTCACAGTGAAATTCAAATCGTCTTGATGCCCACCTTGTCCCACTTGGCGTTGATCTCCTGGGGGTTGATGGCAGTGTAGGGGTTGGTGCCGGCCATGTTCACATGATACGTCTGCACGATTTTGGCGATCTCGTTGTGGATGCCCAGGATGGCCAGGCGCTCTTTGTCGGCCTCTGGCAGGGTGGCCTTGAACTGCTCGTGGGCTGTGCTCAGCCCCTGAACCACAGCAGAGGAAACAAATCAACACTGAGTTCTACCTTCAGCACAAACTCTAAATTGTTCCTGTCTAAAGGTGGGACAGTGTGTTAAACAGTTAAACATCAGTTTGTTCTGTAAACATTTTATTCCCTGTGGATCAAAGGAAACATGTCCGATGTTTGGACTGAGCTCTGCTGCTCTTCAGCATCAGACCGAGTCAGCTGACGTGCTTCAGGTGTCTGATAGGATGTCTCCCTGAGGTATTCTAGACACTTCCCTCTGGGAAGAGATATTGGGGCAGACCCAGAACTCTGGAGCCATTATGAGATGCTTTGCCATTCATAACTCGGCCCTTTGCCACTGTGACCATTTTCCCCGCTCTGTGGTCGGGATCACAACAGGTCGTTGTGGTCGGGATCACAACAGGTCATTGTGGGTGGGATCATAACAAGTTGTTGTGGGCAGGATCATAAGTTGTTGTGGGCGGGCTCATAATAGGTCGTTGTGGGCGGGCTCATAATAGGTCGTTGTGGGAGGGATTATAAGTTGTTGTGGGCGGGATCATAAGTTGTTGTGGGCAGGATCATAACAAGTTGTTGTGGGCGGGATCATAAGTTGTTGTGGGCGGGGTCATTAGTAGTTGTGGGCGGGGTCATAAGCTGTTGTGGGCGGGATCATAAGTTGTTGTGGG